TTTTATGCGTGCAGACGACTCAGATCGCATCGCGATGGACGGCCCAGATTCATTCTTAAATTTAATCGCGATCGGACGGCTCATATTAAATCAGGATGGACGGTTCAGATTAAAAGGGGAAGATTATAAATAATCTCATCCACACCTAACCCCAAACCCTAGCCACCAGAGCCCTCGCCGGAGAAGACAACCCAACCGCTGGGAGAACCGACCGGCGCCACCCGCCGCCGCACTAGAGCACTTTTCAGCCGCCAAACGAGGTAAAATTTCTCCCTTTGGCTTGGATTTCGATGTTGAACCCACCTGTGGTCAAATCAGAGCCAAACCACCAGCCAATTGGCCGAAAAATATCGCCGAAGCCTAGCGGCGCTGTCGCGGGTTTTCTCGATTTTTGCCTCCGATGAGGCCCTTCCCGATTCTCGTTCGATGTAATTTTTACACCACTGTGACCACCGTCCTTTCCTCTATAAGTTGACAGGAGCAAAATGCCAAATCGCGACTCGTGCTGGAAGAGCCACCGCACCCGAGAGCTCCACTGCCGGTAAGTCTCGATTTTCTATATCTTTTTGGCCCACCGAGGGCCCTACGTGTGTTTCCTCGCAGGAATTGGGCTAGTTTGGCTGAATTCGGCCGGAAACGCCCGAAAACAGCCAACTCGAGGTGGATCGCCGCCGTGGGCGGCGGCGCCGACGCCGGAGCACGACGGAGCCGCCGTGCCAGAATTTTGAAATTGGCCGAGGAGGCCTTAGGTCTGATCTGGATTTTTTGAGGACATGTGCAGGTACTAGAAGTGTGTTTCAGTTCCCGAGAAAAAATTCAGGGAATCTAGGAACTGCCCGTAGGCATAGTGAAAAACTGATTTTAGACTTCGAATCAAGTAAGGGTCTCTCACCCTATTTCCTATCATGCCATTAAAGCTTAATAAATGATAAAACTGTATTTTATGAATTAATAGATATGTATAATTAATTAAGACTGCTAATGGGACTCGAATCTGATATATTTTCGATCAGTTGCTGTATTAGTTATTTTACAATTTTAAAGGCATTATGGTGTCTGATCTATTTATTTTATAGTTTTGAATGCATGAATCAATATTTACTTCACTACTGCTTGATTTTGTGAATCCGATGATATGCCTGCATTGTTGGATGCTCGTTACTGGTTTAAATATTCATGATTATGTGAGAAACAGAAAACTAAGAAAAGAATAGAAAATGTATGTGAATTGATAAATGGATAAGTCGACAGCCTCACTAGATATCCGGGGAGATGGTGGACGGACCGGGTCCATAGGGAACCCTACCAGAAATGTTGTCTCTCATACCGGACGGGGTATGGAGACTTTAAATGTTTTGGCGCTCATACCGGACGGGGTATGGGGACGGCCCGCTTCACCCTCATACCGGACGGAGTATTGAGGTTTATGATTTTGGTGCCTATACCGGACGGGGTATGGGAACGGCCCTGGAGTTAAGTTATTAAGGTGAATGGTTCACGTGTAGCGGGGACTCCTATGGATCCCCATGGATACTGGTAGGCTGCTAAAAGAGGAAATTTGTTGCATGATGATTGAAATATTAAAAGTATGACATGTGCTATGTTACAGAGTGCGTATGATTTTATGATATTATAATATTATTGTTTTTATAAGTTATTTTTATGAATCTCACCGAGGTAAGTGGACAGTAAAGAGTTTTATTATTGATAAATGAATTTGTTATAAATTATGCTCCATTGGTCATTTTTATTTTCTACCAACCTTTAGTTTTGTGACAGTGAGATAGTGTGACATCTTTACTGGACTAGTGTAGCTCATTCCTTACTTAACAATTTCAGATCATGAGGACTTGGTTCCCGAACCCGTTCCGCAGGAAGATGGCAAGTAGATTCTTAAAGATTTTATAGTTTTTCTTATAGTATTCATTTCTTGTATTTACTTTAGTTAGCTTATTCTTTCATACGTTTAATACGTTTTGGTTATTGTGCAAAGGATGTTAATCATAATATTTTATTTTGGTTACGCACTTAGAATTTTCATATATACGTTTTCTTTTAATTTCCGGGGCCATTATAATATGACTATAATATCATTGCAGTACAATCGTAATAGTGAATTAACGTATAACAGAGTTATTAAATCTTTTCTTATTAACGATTCAATTGTCCAAATTTTTGTATTAGATAATACATTATTTATGGCCTAAAAAGAAACTTTTGGACTCTTTCTCTATGAAGAAACCTTAATTTAATACATACATGCATGAGGATAAACTCAAAGTGTAAGTCAAACTCTTTCTTAAACGTAATTTAATAATTTCTTATTACTTAGATTATTATTGTTATAAATAAAATAAACAGATTATTGTTTTGTACTACACAAATATTATATAGTTTATCATGCTAACTTTTTAATTAGAAATACTTTAATGTGATAATTTTAATTAAAATAATATTTATAATAAAATAGTTAGTAAAATTTTTAATTAAATAGTTCTTTTCTGTAGCCTATCTTTTTGCTAAACAATTAGTAAAATCTGAGTTGGACGCACTATTATTTTATCAATGAATTATTCATTATCTTATAATTAGGTCTTAATTTTTTCTTTACAATTTAATCTTTAAATTTACAGAATTATTTCAACTCATAATCTTAGTCATATTTTCTTCTCCGTGAAGTTTAAATATTATATATGCAACTAAATATTATATAAAGTTTATTAGATTTTTTAGTTTGATGTATATTACTATATGTAATTACTAGTTAGTATAGTCTTAACACGTATAATTACTAAGTATAGAGTAGTTTAATTGCATCAATTTTAATTCCAGTAGATTTTTTAACTAAACAAGTGGTAGATTTCTAATAAATTTTTTAAAAAATTAAATTATAATTAGTAAACTTTTTAAATTCAGCAAAATTTTTAATCAGATTTACTTTGATTTCCAAAACAAATTACAAAGATAAAAAATGGATTTGATTTATTATTTTGAATTACTATTGCGGGACTCGGCTATATAATGACAGTTATATATATAATGTCGTAACTATTTGAAATTATCAACATAATTAATAAATTAATGTATAATATATCCTATTTGGATAACGAAAAACTCATCTCAAAATTACCAGCCTGGATATATGGAAAATGAACTGATTACTGATGTCGGATAATTTTGTAATGATTTGAATAGAACTGAAGAATACATATATTTGATATACCAATATGTGGTGACTCGTCATTCTCGGATGTTCTTACATATTATATACCACCCAATGTTGATTACTGGCCAGCCATGCAAAAACAAGTGTACGTACGTGAAATCTCATGCGTCAATAATTAAATCCTAAGTTTAGAAACCTTGAAACCCTTTAAAAGCGTCCCTTGCATCATCTTGCTTCCTCACCCAGCCACAGATCCTCCATTTCTTTAGATATAAATATATATATTTAATTTCTCTCCGATCGGAGTTGTTTAATCTCTTAATTTTCCCCAAGAAGGGGAGGGTTATTCGTCGGAGAGAAAGGTAATTCTGGTTAAAAAGATTCAACAAAAATGATCGGTAAGGTAGTGGTTTCGGGGATTTCTATTCTTCTAGTTGTGGGAATCGCCATTGGTGTCATTGCCGCAGTTCATAACAAGGGTGGTAAGGAAGAAAACCTCACGGCTCAGGCCAAGGCGGTGAGGGCTATATGCGAGCCAACTACTTACAAAGATGTTTGCACCAACAGCTTGCAAAATGCTACTAGTACCGAGCCAAAGGAGCTTATTAAGACCATTGCCATGGTGACTAAGCAGGCTTTGATACAAGCTCACAAGTTCACTGAAGATGAACTCGTGAAGAACCATGCAGAAGATGTTAAAAAGAAGGAACTTGAGTATTGTAAAAAGATGCTCAACTTCTCTTTGGAAGATATACAGGAATTTGTAGATGAGTTTGATTCCTCTGACTTCAAAAACTTGAGCGATAAATTTGACGATATCTGGCAATTGATGACCAACGTCTGGGTTTACCAGGAAAGTTGTTTGGAAGAAATTATGGAGGAAGATCTCAAGAAATCCATTGAAGATGGTACAAGTGATGCAAAAAAGATGACTAGCAATACTCTAGACATCGTTGCTGACTTAAACAAAATCCTCTCTAGCTTTGGTCTCAACTTCAATCTTACAACAAATTTGTCTGATCATCCCCCCTCACGCCGTCTTCTTGATGTTGGTGAGCCAAATGAGTTCCCAAGATGGGTATCAGCTGGAGACCGTAGGCTTCTTGCTGGCCGTGGAGGTATTAGGCCAGACGCTGTCGTGGCTCAGGATGGCAGCGGGCAATTTAGGACTATTAAAGCAGCTCTTGCCGCTTATAATCCCCCTAAGAACGTCAAAACCAGAAAAAGATACATTGTTTACATTAAGGCTGGAGTTTATCGCGAGTCTGTTACCATCGAAAAGAATCAGTACAATGTGTTCTTTTATGGTGATGGTGCAGGCAAGACCATTGTTACTAATAACAAACATGTCTTTGGCACCAACCTTCGTACATCAGAAACCGGCACAGTTAGTAAGTTGAAAGCATATTCCAACTTTATTTTTTTATTAAAAATACTCTTCGTTTTACTCGATTATAAATATTTTACATAAATGGTGCAGCGGTATATGGAAGAGGGTTCTTGGCGAAGCACATGTCATTTGAAAACACTGCAGGACCAAGTGGGCACCAGGCGGTGGCTCTCTTGATCCAAGCTGATCTAGCAGTGGTCTATGATTGCAGAATCGACGGGTATCAAGATACTTTGTACTATAACTCAGGCAGACAATTCTTCCGCAACTGTATCATCTCTGGCACTGTTGATTTCATCTTTGGAATGGGAGCGGCTGTGATCCAGAACTCATTGATTATCGTGAGAAGAGGAAACGATGGGCAAAAAAATACAGTGACTGCTGATGGAAACTCGAAGGGAAAGAACGCACACATCGGGCTCATCATCCAAAATTGCAAGATCGTGCCAGAGTTGAGGCTTGCGCGAGACGCAAAAATGAAGTCTTACCTTGGTAGGCCGTGGAAGCAATATGCCACCACCATTGTAAGAGAGACAGAACTAGGTGGGTTCATTGACCCAGAGGGGTGGATGCCTTGGCAAGGTAGCAGTTATGAGAACACTTGCTTCTATGCCGAGTACAACAACAGAGGACCTGCTGCAAGAACCAACTTGAGAGTGAGGTGGAAGGGGTTCAAGGTTATTACGAACCCAGTTGAGGCTAGGTTGTACAGTGTTGGACCTTGGATTCAAGGATACAGATGGCTGAGGGGCACCCGGGTGCCATTCAACCTGTAAGAGTATGAGGGATAGAAGCATGACCAGCCTGTTGGAGAAGGAGAAATTAAGCCTATGTTAGCAGAGGTGTACTTCTTTTACTGTACCTTTTATTGGAAGGGGGTCGCTTCCCTTTCCACTTCCTCCTATTCATGTGGAATAATCATTCATTCTTAATTTTTTCCTTTAATTTGTTTAATTCGATAAAACTATGGCGCTAATTCACTATTTGTTAATCATTTTCACGCTAATATGATATCTATTATATTTAAATTTCAATATCGTAATATTTATTATATGCACTCTTGTTATAGTCTATCAAAATATATTTGCATACACACACATAAAAAAAAAAGAAAATCAATATTTATGGACTAAAATTTATTTATTATTAATATATTAATTAATTAATTATTAAATTAAATATTACACGTCAATTATCAATCGTTCATAATATTTAATTATTTAAAAATTTATTAAAAACTTAATTTTTTTTTAAAAAAAATTTGGTATCAAATCTTTTCACCATCAAATTATCAAATCTAATTTATGAAAATTATTGAATTATATAAATTTTTTAAAAAATAAATTTAAACAAATTAAATACAATATTATAAGACTAACACAATATCAAAAAGTATTAAAAAAAAAAAGATATTTTGTACATTACCTTGGCCTGTTTTGAGTCATTGGTACAAAATTTGACTATATATAATTATTATATGATAGTAGCTTGCATTATTTTGATAATGATTTGTTACTATATTGGTGTTAAAAGTGGATAGAAAAGAAATGATAACAAAATGGTATAAATAATAGTTAAAATAATAATAAATATAGTGTGTAAGAAAATGTAAATAATTAAGAGTATATTTTTATAAAGGCAAACATGACATATAGTTGAAAAATAAAAAAGTTATTTAAATGCATAACAAATAATAGTTTTGAAATAGAAATTGAATAAATGATTGTGATTGTAAACTTATGATGAAATTAATATGATATATTGGATTTTGATACATAATTTTGTATTAATATTAGGTGAACATGAGAATGTAGAATGGAGCATTTTCTTGGAATAACTTAATTCATGTAACTGAAGCAGTTTCAATCTGTGTCTGCAATTTCACTCGCAAATCCTCGCTATCAAAGACCGTTTCTTCTCTCTGCTTCAGCCAACGATTCTCTTTCAATTATTCGGTGTTCCTCTAGTGGTGCGTTCTTCCTCTTCCGAGTTAACTTCATGATACGATAAAGTTAGATGATCGTTTCGTTCTTGGAGTCTGATTGTAGGTTTTTGAAACCCTAGCTTCCAGGCATAGTTGGCGTAGTCAATTGACTGGTTTTTGACTGATAATTTTGTAGTTAGAAGTTTGGTTACAGTGGTTTTACCGAATGAAAATTAGGTCAGTTATTTCAAGAACTGTGCGTGAAGGAAAAATAGAATAAATAAAACTGTCATTTTCTCTTTAAGATGAGTAGTTTTGAGCACTCCTATATGATCGGGATTTTTTCTTTTTTCTTTTTCCCAATATGTTGAAGAGAAAGAGGCCTTACTTCTATTCCTGTAATTCTGTAACGCCAAAGCTTTATCTGATGACCTTGTTAAGATTATGAAATTTTTTTATTGTACATGACTCTTAGAACATTTAATGGCAGAAACGCAACCTTACTTTATCCGAGGACCTTATTAAGATCATGGAACAGAGACTATCAGCTATTGAGGACAGGAGTGCTCTTCTAGAAAATCATAAGGTAATCAAGGATTCCTCTCTATACGACAATATTTTTTCCGATTGAATAATGCCCGTAATAGAGATTTTGATATCTGAATTGTGGTGTTGGCTGAAGACAGCCAGAGGCCTCACCAGCAGAGTATTCAAGAGCTAATAAAGAGTTATGGAAGTTGAGGGATTCCATGGACCTTATAAATGAGCTAAGGAACAAACAAAAGGTAATGAATTGCTTTGGCTCTATGATAAGCCTCTATTTGATGAATATGCTCCAGTGCCGAAATTACTCAAATTTGATATGGCTGACTCCAGCATGTGTTGTTTTACTATCTTAATACTATATACAAGTGATGTAGCCCAAATAATTAAAAAATTCAAGGGAGGATTTGTAGTTTATGTGTGTGCATTTACACTTGTAACTCTGAGCCTTTCTTGTCCGTTGTTCACCTGGGTGTTTGTTATTATCAATTCAAGTATATAAGTAGTTATTTAGCTATATAGAGTTTTTGGATAATTGGGTTTGATGTTTATGTTGGTTCTGCATTCAGAAAATCTAGGCTTTTATAGGTACGCTGTGAGAAAGTAATTCAGTCAAATTTGGTTACTGAAATGATTCCATTTGGTGTTAAGGTCTTCAAGTGGTTTACTCATGGGCCAAGAAGGTTTTTGGTCAGAGTTAAGCACTCTGAAATTGTGTTCTAGACTATTGAACTGTGTTCTAGCTTCTTTGTAAGTTATTCTTATCATCTGTCAGTTATTTCTCTACTTTCCTATTTTTCTACGAAAAGTCCTTTACTTTCCTGTAAGACATAAGTGCTGTTCTGAAATTCAGAAACTATTGTGCAGTATTTTCAGATAATTTTCGAATATTTCTTGCTCGAGGAGAGTGTTAGGTTCTCTCTTAATGAGCCTAGATTTTACAGTTAAAATAGGTCAGAGAGGTAGAGCATCGCGCAGAAGCATATTTTTCTTTTGTCAAAAATATAGTTGTTGAATCGGGATACAAACTATGAATTGGAATGCCAATTTTTTAAGTCGAGAATCATGAATAAAAATGAACTCTAAGACTTAAAACATAGTTAACAGATCATAATTTACTGCCACATATATATTATTCAAATAAACAGTATTTAAAAGTTAAATATAGTAAGAAATTTAAAATTATATATTGTTAGTATTGTAAAGAACCAAAAAGGTGCATATTTTTAAATTAAATGGTCTAAATATGTTTGAAGCTTTGAAGAACTAGGGAAGTAGAGGGAAATGAAATGTCTTTTCTTTTTTCTTAAAAGAAATGTCAAAAATAAAAGAAATTATTTTCATTTTTTCCACATTTCATGTCAAAAGCCATCTCAAAAACTAGAAAACTATTTTTTTTTTTTTCAATTTCTAGATCCAGCTTACAGTAAGTTAAATTGAATTTTACCAACCAGTCTTTAACTAGAATAAATTGAATCAAACAATTCAATTCTGGTTCGTTCAATGAAATATTTCTTTTTGTCTTTTATACTTGATATTTTGTGATTCAACCATACAATTTAAATTATTCTGATTTTGAATCCAATGGTCTTATTTGAATTCGTGCAATTCTAATTGAAACCTATAACCAGATCTGAGCTAAGGAACATACAAAACTAAATGGAGAAATCTTATGTCCTGATTTTTGGTCGATCTTGGCAAGAGATGGAATTGCATGAGTCTTTTATCTAGATGATGGCTTCAATTTATGAGATATTAAGGATGTATAGAATTGTTCATTGGGTGCTTATAAGTAATTTTTAATATTCTGTTTAAATCTACCTGTTTGGTAAATATAAAGGTCTTTATGAGGTGCTTAGAAGTTACTTTAAGCAAGAAAGTATTAGGTGTTCTATCCTAACTTCTATAGGCGCGTGTTTTTTCATTCATTTAAGTTACTTATTTCCTTACTTATTCATAATTATTTATTTTTTAAGTTCGTCTAAGACACATTGCTATAAGTAATCTTGATATAAGATAAATTACAATTAATTTATCTACCTAGGGATTTTAGGAACAAGAATATAGACATCATACTTACGATTTTCTAGAAATCACATCTAAAAAATCTTGCATATCACAATTGAGAGTTTGATTGCATCAAACAACTTAAGAAATTTGATGAACTCTAAAAGTATCTCATTAAATAACTGTAGTCTGTCTCAAAAGTGAGATTGCATTGAATATATAATGCTTCTTAGTGACCTTTTCCAAATAAGATTAAACTAAGAAAAGGATTAGAAAATTATATTAGTAACACAAATAGGAAACCTAAAAACTAATAGTGATGGAACCCTAAAGTTACTAAAACTATAATATCACGCTCGTAATGATCCAATAGTTTTTACATTTAGTATTATTTCTAGTCTATATAGGCAATCGAAACCTAATCCATTCTACATCAAATCCTAACATTCCATTGGATGTTGGTATGTATCTTGTACTGATTCTTTTCAAGGTTGTTTATATCTCTGTATGTTTGCTTGTTCTAAGTGATTCTTGTGACTGGTTCGGAAGCAGCTGCTTGATACTTTTTGATTTTCTTTTTTTATTTTTTTTCATGCAGGAGATTCATGAGTTGAAGTCAGTGATAGCTGGATGCTCTAATGACAAATACTTTCTTGCTATGGCAACTGAGGAGTTAGGTAGGCCATGGAAGAAGAGAATTCGCTGCTGAGGGCATTACTTCCTAAGGATGATGTTGATGAGAGGGACCATACTCTGGAGGTAAGAGCAGGTAAGAAATGTTAAATTAAGGGATAATGTAAAATACCCTCACACTTTTGCATTTATATGAAATTGCACCTTACATTTTTATTATATGAGGATGCACCTCAAACTATTACAACATATAAATCACATCTGTCGATAATTTCTGCTATAATTAACAGAAGTCTAGTTTTTAACAATTAAATTAACAGACTCTAGTTTTTAACAATTAAATTAACACTGCATTAGGTATGAGAGATACTCTCAGAAGATGGTTTGGAAATTTGAAGTGGTAGATGTAATTAAATCTGACTTGAAAGGATATAATGTATATTTTTCATCCATTGCTAGTAGTCCCAATTAATGACATGACTTCTAGTTTGAAATTTTATGTTGTAGACATTACATACAGAGTTTTGCCTTTCTGTTGCTGTGTTTTTGCTTCAATTTCTGGAGCTGGTGTTTATGGGAAGGTAAAATTTGAGAGTTCAGGTTTTCCTACCTCCTATTAAGCTCATAAAATGTGACTTCTAGCTGCAGTTACTAACAATTCTATGTTGGTAGCGAGTACCTCTAACAGAGAAGTCTGGACGTCTTCATACCAGTGCTGTATCTGTTGCCATACTCCAACAGGCTGATGAGGTAGTTGGCATAAAATTGGATATTTTATGAATTTTCGTCTGAGCTACAGTGTAATCATCAGATAGTTGTGTTTAGTCATTAGAGTCAGACAGCAGATGCTCATTTGTACATACAGAGACATTATTTCAATCTTAGGTCTTTATTTTTGTTCTTCCATCATTTATGTTATATTTGGAAATTACATTTAGTTTAACTAGTAGATGATGCAAATTCTACTAGGAAATGATAAACATAGACCATACAATCAATTTTTATCAATTTCTGATTCTTTCTCTTCTGCAACAAGTACTGGACATGGTAGTTCTGTTCTCGAGGAGTAATGAAGGAGAACATATGTTGGAAGTGCTAGTGTCATTCTTTTGGGGATTATGACTAAGTCGATGCATTTCGCATTGACACTGATCGATTTATATGTTGCATCCTTAGCTGCAACCGAGATAGAACAAGAGCTCTCGGTCTGACACATGATAGCTTCTTCAGTTTCGAATAACAATTTTGCTGTCTACAACTGTTATTGTCATTAGAAACTGATTATATGATCTTGAATTTGACTGTGATTACAGCTTGCTGCTCCAGTTGAGCATAAATTGATTGATATCGAGCGATGGTGGCAGCTCATAAGATGGACAATCCATTGCTGCTCGAGTGCATGAACGTAACTTATGATTTCAGTAATTTTATCATTAGATTTCTGTGGTAAATTTAGTTTGCAGAGATAATCAATTCTTAGTCCGTAGTAGATAAAATTTTACAGTAAAATGCCAGGGACATAGAACTTATACTCCAACTCTAAGAAAGTTAGGCTTCCACTTTCTGTTTTATATATTGTCTTACATATTATGGCAATGGTGGCTAGCTACCAAGACCACTGTTTTTTTTAAACAAATTTTTTTTTTTTTTTAAAGTGCTATAGTTAAGGAACTTCAGTTCTCTTTTAACTTTTTACTTCAATTGACTTTCTGATAATAATTTAAAGAAATTCGAAAAAGAAAAATAGTAGTGAAAATGTTTTTTTTTTTTTGCTCCTAATTGGATGTCTAATGCTTATAGAGAAAGGCAAAAATGAAGTAAAAAAGGGTAATTAGATCAAAGCAAAAAGCTTCAAGAGCTTTTGAAATGTTTCTGCTTCATTGGTAAATAGCAGATGGCATGTGAACTTTAAGTGGTTGAGATCTGCAACATTTTCACCTTGATCCACATGGTAATTAAACCACACTCCAACAAGAAGTTTGGTGGGTGAGTTCTGCTTCCTCACAAGACAACAGGCTGTCCTCAACATTATAGGTAGCCTTTTTTAAAATTAAAAGAAACATGAGAAGATAATCTTCAATCCTATTTATTTTATAATCAAATAAAGACACAGAATCTAATAATGGATTTAGAAAAACTTGTTAGTTTTATTTGCATTCAGATATAAAAATATATATATATATATATACCTAATTAAAAAAGAAAGTAAATATTCATTTCCAAGAGATGAATTTGTACCAAAATTTTAAAGCTAAGATTGTCTTGCTAGCAATGAATACTTTAGTTCCTATGCACCATAAAACATGAACCAAAAATAAATAAAGATAGGAAGGTGGGATGGGGCAGATTATGTGAGAATAACATCAAGTCTGAAAGAGTCCATTCTGCAACTTCCTCTTGATCACTCACAAAAATTTCAGTACCCGAATCAATGGATGTCCAGATTCTTCTAGCAGGAGGGGTACCTGGATCCTAAAACAATATAAAAACAATAGAAAGTCAACATTTAGATTTAGTTTTACAACTAAGAAAGAGTAAAATGTTCAAACCTGATAAAAGTGAAGTCTACTGGCTAAACCACCAACATCAAGCTCCCAAGTCCTTGGATCACCAACCCAACCATCCCCTTTTTTGGTTGGGTAGCCATATTCAGCCCATACTGGGTGAGGCAACAACTGAACTATTTCTTGTCCCTGAGGATTGCTGTAAGGATCACAAGTACTTACAGGTTGCTCCAAGTATTTTGCATTTCCAGGAGCACAATAGTAATGATAAGCTCCATAAGGGAAGTTTTTTGTATCATTCCTGAGAATCTTTTTGTTGTCTGGAGTAATATGGTACGGTGGGCAGTTTTGCAATTCTTCTGGGCTGCACCAAGATGTAACATCTGGATTGATGATCATCTCGCTGTATCTGGTTACATCTGTGAGTACATCTCCGTCACAGGGAGCTCCATTGTTCTTCCAACAGCTGCCCATATCTAGCAAGTAGAATTGGCTCTTGGGTCCTCCTCCATGTTTAATATCCAAAGTCAATCTAACTCTGAAATTGGGTGACTCCGGAAGCTGAAGAAACATAACCGACAACCAATAGTAAAAGACAATATTCTACCAAAAACGCAATAGCAGAAAATTTAAAAAAAAAAAAAAAAAAAAAAAAGTTGAGAAAAAAGTACTAACAGTTTTGAGCATTCCCCGCGTCATATAATGGTAACCTCCAGAAAATCCTCTAGTTGCATCAGCTCTAAGGTATAACATCAACCAAGGGTATTTTGCTGAAGTTTTGAGCTTATGCTTAAACACCCAACTCCCAGTTCCAATTTTCTTCTCCCAAATTACTTGATAAAATGAGATATTATCAAACTTATCTCCAATCTTAGCATCCAATTCATAACTTCCATTAAACCATCCTCTCATTGTATCATCACTTAACAACTCTGTTTGCTGATGATTCAAAATGGGTTGATTCATACATCCCTTTCCAAAACAAGGAAACCTACCTGGCCTAAATGGTCCTGTCTTTTTCCCATTTTCTGGGCACAACCCTGATTCTGTATCGTAGTTTCCATTTTTAAGCATAACCATCCAAAAATTCCATGGTCTTGGAAAATCTGGAACTTCACACAAAGAACCAAGGTATAATTCTTTCTTCGCTGCGTATAGGTCTGTGTTGTTCATTGCTGAACCAACACCAGGGAATGGCATACCCACCCCAAGCTTGTTATCTTTTTCCGATACCTTGTGTTTTAACAAGTATTCTGTCATTCAGGAAAAAATTAATACATATAAAATATAAAGAATGAACGAATTAAGAGGTTAAATATTATAAAGTAGTAACCTTTTTTAATTGGGTTTTGCTTAGTCCAGAGATCAAAGCAATCTGCAGCTCTTGGGCTGCCCATACCAGGAGTTTCTTCACCAACTTCATTGCATTGGTTCCAACCTTCAAATGCCACTCTCAACCCATCTCTTTTCATTCCCGGGTCTCCCACAGCTGATATATATGGCATCTCTCGCACACCTTCAGCGCTCAATATTAAAAAATTTATTACTAACACAATCACCATGCATAATTCCTTTTTCTCTATCATCATTGTTCTCCTGCAACAAAGTTGAAGTGTTAGTGAAATTACGATTACGATTAATTTATCTACTTAGGGATTTTAGGAAAGAATATAGGCATCTTGCAAAATGCTTCTTAGTGACATTTTCCAAATAAGATTAAACTAAGAAATATTAATATTTATAGAATTATTAGAAAATAATATGAGTAACATAAATAGGAAAACTAAAAACTAATAATGATGAATACTCAAGTTACTAATAATAAAGATTTCTGTGTATATACACACACGCACAGAGTATAACACCATGACCCCAATTAAGTATGTAATTATATGTAAAAATAATTAAATTGTTGTAAATTAACTAAATTAATTTTTATAATAGAAATAAATTTGAATTATAAATTAAAGGCTTTGGAGGCTTTAATGAAGAAAATTTTAAATTTTAGGGGCCTTAAGTAAATTAAAAGAACCTAAATGAATTGACGTTTCAAAAAAGGGGGCCAAAACATAAATTCTGGAAGTGTTGGACACCTCAGTGACAAACCGCGACAGGCCGTTCGGCCACGCGTGCGTACAAGCGGCGTGATCCGAAAATGAACGGCCATGATTTCACCGTTTAGATGTCGATCCAGCGGTTCTCATACGAGGACCGGATCTTGACGGACAAGGGCCATTCCCGCCTGAACGAACGGTCCATATGAAGACGCAGGATGAACGGTCTATAGCAAGCGAAGTGGACGGCCGAGATGAAAAGACAAGATGACTACCCAGATCGCGGGATCTACCGAGATTTAAAAAGCTTTAAAAGACTAAAGAACCCCGACTAATCCAACGGTTCAGAATCGTTATGAGGAGATCGGACGGCGGGATCTAGAGAGAGGAGAGAAGGAGGGGAAGAGCGAGGCCGGAGAAGAAGAAGGGAAGCGTCGCGGAGGCAGAGGGACAGGGGAAAAGGAGGAGCCGTGACCGAGAGACGAACCTCGACGCCGAGACAGGTAACTTTACCTCTTTCTTCTTTCACCGTGTCTTGGGCGAGCCGAGAGTTGCGTTGCGTATTGGGACCCGATTTTCACGGGTTGAAGTAGTCAGGTTCTGACGGGAAACTCTTTAGAGACCCAGCCCGTGCTGTCGGTGAGTTGCCGGGAACCCGTGACTCCGGTCAAGTTTTTAGTTTTAGTTTTATTTTTATCTTGAATTAATTCATTCGTAGCGTGTGTGTATGGTGATTATAGGGCCTTTCAAATAAATCGGTGTAGATCTTGCATGGTAAATCTCTATAAGTATATCCCGGTATTGTGAGCCTGAGTTTGGAATTTAAACTCCATGCGTGAAAGTGAGATGAGAATCTGAGAAGAACAGAACCCGGACGCATTCGAGGGAGGGGGAAGTGCGGGGAATGAGTTCGGGACGTGATTAATGTGGGTAAAATGTGATCAAAAATAAAGATCACAACAGATTACGAAACACAAATTACGTTAGCACATGAAGTAAAGTGAATTCAAGTCATAAAAATTCATATATAACAATTACGCTAATAATGTAAGAAATCAAAAGAAAGAGTACCTTTAGGATGAAACTTTTTCTTTACTCTCTGCCTAATTTTTGTTTGGAAATAAATAAAATCTGAGAGGGACTAGAGAATAATTTATATACAAAGAAGTTTTAGTTCAAGAGTGAAATAAAAAGAATATTGTAAATTTAGATTGTGGACTTCTAGTTTGATAATGATTCTTCTTATTAAATTTAGTATTTATCCCTTTGAATTAGTAATTTATCATATTTCTATAATAATAAATTAATACTATCAAATTTTATCTTACTGGATAATCTTTTAGATTTTGCAATGGGAGCTTCTTTTTTTTTTTTTTTTATTAATTAATAAAAAAGGGTAAAGGTAAAATATTATCCAGACTATAATTTTTATACCTGTAGAACTTTTCTTGTTACTTTAGAAGTCTACTGACTTAATTAAAGCGCCTGGAAGAATTTGTTTATATTTATCTTTTTTTTTTTTTTGTCTAAATATTTGATCAGTAATATATAAGACGAGAAAAACTGTCCATTCAGTTTTGATTCTATTGAATCAAACCAAAGCAATTTACAAACTGAGGAATTATTAATTTTTATTTTTTAAACAATTAACAACAAATGGAAACTGAATAAATGGTAGTGATTGTAAATTTGTAATGAAATTAATATGATATATTGGACTTTTATACATAATATTTGGTTTATTGATTATTAATTGGATGAAATAAAATTTGTTTTTTGTTTTATTAAATTATTATTATTATTATTATTTTAATTAAACCAACTCCTTTCAAAGAGGAATTTCATTCTTTCATTTCGTATAAAATGGATCCCATATTCGCCGCTTCAATCTGCAGTAACTCGTAATTTAGCTTTGACAGAAACTTTCAAAGAGGAACATGATCATGCAGACTGGAGCGTTCTCTTGGAGTTACTTGATTCGTGTACTGAAGCACTTTCAATCTGTGTCCGCAATTTCACATGCAAATCCTTGCTATCAAAGACCGTTTCTTCTATCTGCTTTAGCCAACAATTCTCTTTCAATTATTCGGCGGTACTCTAGTGGTGCGTTCTTCCTCTTCCTTGTTAACTTCATGATCTGATAAAGTTAGATGATTGTTTCGTTCTTGGAGTCTGATTGTAGGTTTTGGAAACCCTAGCTTCCAGGCATAGTTGTAGTCAATTGACGGGTTTTTAACTGATAATTTTCTAGTTAGAAGTTTGGTTACGGTGGTTTTGCCGAATCAAACTTAGGTCACTTATTTCATTCGGAGTTCACTTCCTTACAACGTCTTGTTCCGTTCTTTCTTTTTCTTTCCCATGGATGTAGTTGACAAAATGAATTATAAACCAAAAGAAAGTCAAGAACTGTACGTAAAGGAAAACTAGAATAAACTGCCAGTTTCTCTTTAAAATGAGTAGTTTTGAGCATTCCTATATGATCGGGATTTTTTCTTTTTTTTTTTCCCCTACATGTTGAAGAGAAAGAGGCCTTACTTCTATTCCTGTAATTCTGTAATGACAAAGCTTTATCTGGTGACCTTGTTTTGATTATGGAATTTTTTGGTTGTACATGAGCCTTTGGAAATTTAAATGGCAGAAACGCAACCTTACTTATCTGAGGACCTTGTTAAGATCATGGAACAGAAACTATCAGCTATTGAGCACAGGAGCACTCTTCTAGAAAATCTCATAAATAAGGTAATTAATGATTCCTCTTTCTATGACAATATTTTTCTGGTTGTATAATGCCCATAATGGATTTTTTGATATCTGAATTGTGGTGTTGGTTGAAGACAGCCAGAGGCCTCGCCAGCAGAGTATTCAAGATCTAATAAAGAGTTGCGGAAGTTGAGGGATTCCATGGACCTTATAAATGAGCTAAGGACCAAGCAAAAGGTAATGAATTGCTTTGGCTCTATGATCAGCTTCTATTTGATGAACACACTCCAGTTCCAAAATTATTCAAATTTGATCTCGCTGAGTCCAGTATGTGCTGTTTTACTATCTTTATATTATATGCAAGTAGAATGGCAAGCATGTCTGGAACAAGGGATATAGCCCAAATAATTAAAAATTCAAGGGAGGACTGGTCTATGCATCTAAAAGATTTGTGGTCCACGAGTGTGCATATACACTTGTAACTCTAAGCCTTTCTTGCCCATTGTTCACCTGGGTGTTTGTTATTATCAGTTCAACTATATAAGTAGCTATTTAGCTGCATAGAGTTGTTGGATAATTGGGTTTGACATTTATGTTGGTTCTTTACTCATAAAATATACTCTTATAGGCACGCTGTTAAAAAGTAATTCAATCAGATTTGCTTACGGAAATTATTCCATTTGGTGTTAGGATCTTCAAGTGATTTACTCATGTGCGAAGAAGGTTTTTGGTCAGAGTTAAGCACTCTGATATTGTGTTCTAAACTATTGAACTGTGTTCTAGTTTCTTTGTCAGTTATTCTCATCATCTGTCAGTTATTTTCTACTTTCCTGTTTCTCTAAGAAAAGTCCTTTACTTTCCTGCAAGACATAAGTGCTGTTCTGAAATTCAGAAACTATTGTGCAGTACTTTCAGACAAATTTTTTAAATTTTCTTGCTCGAGGAGAGTGTCAGATTCTCTCGTAATGAACCCGGATTTTACAGTCAAAATAGGTCAGAGAGCTAGAGCATTGCAGAAGCATATTTTTCTTTTGTCAAAAGTACAATTGTTGAATTGGATACAAACTATGAATTGGAATCCCAATTTTTTAAATCAAGAATCAGGAATCAAAATGAAGACCTAAAACATAGTTAATAAATCATAATTTGCTGCCACATATATATTATACAAATAAACAGTATTTAAAGGTAAGATATTTAAGAAATTTAAAATTATATATTGCTGGTATTGCAGTGAACCAAAAAGGTGCATATTTTTAAATTAAATGGTGTAAATATGTTTGAAGCTTTAGAAAAACTAGGGAAATAGATGAAAATGGAATGTCTTTCCTTTTTTTAGAAAAAAAAAAAGTCAAAAGTAAAAGAAATTGTTTTTATTTTTCCACATTTCATGTCAAAAAGCATCTTAAAAATTAGAAAACTATTTTTTATTTCAATTTCTAGATCCACCTTACAGTCAATTGAATTGAATTTGACCAACGAGTCTTTAACTAGAATCAATCAAATAATTCAATTCTGGTTCGTTCAATGAATTATTTTTTCGTCTTTTATACTTGATTTATTGTGATTCAACCGTACAATTTAAATTGTTTTGATTTTGAATCCAACGTGCAATTCTAACAACAGTTGAAACCTATAACCAGATCTGAGCTAAGGAACATATAAAACTAAATGGAGAAACCTATGTCCTGATTTTTGGTTAATCTTGGCAAGAGATGGAATTGCATCAGTCTTTTATCCAGACGACGACTTCAATTTATGAGATACTAAGTATGTATGGAATTGCTCATTGGGTGCTTATAAGTAATTTTAAATATTCTGTTTCAGTCCACCTGTTTAGCAAATAAAAGGGTGTTTGTGAGGTGCTTAAAAGTAACTTCAAGCAAGAAAAGTATTAAGTGTTCTATCTAACTTTTATGGGTGCTTGTTTTTTCATTCATTTAAGTTACTTATTTGCTTGCTTATACATAATTATTTATTTTTTAAGTATGTGAGTGCTTTAACTTAAAAGACACATTTCTATAAGCAATCTTGATATAATAAATTTATCTACTTAGGAATTTTAGGAACAAGATTATAGACATCTTACATAATGCTTCTTAGTGACCTTTTCTAAATAAGATTAAACTAAGAAATATTAATACTTATAGAATTAGAAAATAATATTAGTAATACAAATAGGAAAACTAAAAACTAATAATGGTGAAATGCTAAAGTTACTACAACTGTAATATCACGCTCGTAATAGTCCAGTAGTTTTTACTTTCAGGATTATAGTTTCTAATCTATATAGGCAATCAAAACCTGATCCATTCTACATCAAATCCTAACATTCCGTTGGATGTTGTTATGTATCTTGTACAGATCCTTTCAAGGTTGTTCATATCTTTGTATTTTTGCTTGTTTTAAGTGATTCTTGTGACTGGCTCAGAAGCAGCTGCTTGATACTTTTTGCTTTTCTTTTCTTTTTCTTTTTTTTTCATGCAGGAGATTCATGGGTTGAAGTCACTGGTAGCTGAATTCCCTAATGACAAAGACATGCTTGCTATGGCAACTGAGGAGTTGGGTGGGGCCATGGAAGAAGAGAAAAGACTGCAGAATTTGTTGCTGAGGGCATTACTTCCTAAGGATGATGCTGATGAGAGGGACTGTATTCTGGAGGTAAGAGCAGGTAAGAAATGTTAAATTAAGGGATAATGTCAAAATACCCTCACGCTTTTGCATTTATATGAAATTGCACCTTTCATTTCTATTATATGAGTATGCACCTCAAACTATTACAACGTATGAATAACATCTGTCGATAATTTCTGTTATAATTTACAGAATTCTCGTTTTTTACAATTAAATTAGCAGAACTCTAGTTTTTTACTAATTAAATTTAAAATATCATTCGAAAGAACAGAATAAACTCATTTCTCTTATTTTTGCTCTTTTTTTTTCCATTTCTACCTTCTCCTTTATCTCTCTTCCTTCTTTAGCTCATGCTAATGTACATATCTTGTTCTTTATTTCAAACTGACAACCACCAACCACCGGCCCCCACCAAAAAAAGAAAAATCTTCTTCAACCTTAACCGAAAGAAACCCATAACAAAGCAGCCCAATAAATCAACATGCAGAAATCATCTTGCTGTGTTCTTTTTTTTCTCCAAAAAGTCAAAGTTTCTTTATCCAATGGCAATCCATGTAAACTTTAATGGTGAAGATAAGGTAGAGACGGTACTCAAACTTAATATCATGGAGCAGATATTTGCTTCCAGCAGAAGTCACAGCAAGCACCATTGTGCAGATGAGAGATCCATCTTTGCATCACTGGGTTTCATGAAAATTTTGACTTTGTTCTTACTAAATAGGAGAAATTTTAAGCTTCTGCTTGAAATTTTTGTAACCGAGTTTGAGGCAGAACAATAAAGTGCTGAAGATAGAGAAATTTGAGGAATAATGATGGCGGTTTAAAGAAAGGGTAACCAAGCTTTTTATAAAAAAAATATGACAATTATTTTTTATTTAAATGATAAAAAAGTAGAATGCTGTTAACTTTAATGGAAATTATTAACAGAAAATGCATTTTAGTTTGATACAATTAAAAATGTGATGTTCAATTTGACATAAATATAAAAGTGCAAGGATATGTTTTGATGTTACCCGTTGAGTTAAATCGCATGGGAAGCAATTGTTTAGGCAGTTAGCCTGCCTCTTAGAAAACGTTTTCCTTCTCTTGAATTTTGATAAAGGTGTTAATCAGGAACTGGAGGCGAAGAGGCTTCTTTGTTTGCAATGGACATATTTAAAATGTAAGTTACCGTGGCATAGTTAGAAGCTGTAGAAGAATTTGTTTTAGCTTATTTCTAGTTTTTGCACCTTGCCATTTGAAAAATTTTAATATGGTTTGAATTACATTAGGTATGAGAGATACTCGCAGAAGATTGGTTGGAAATTTGAAGTCGTAGATGTAACTGAATCTGACTTGAAAGGATATAAAGTATGTCTTTCGTCTGTTGCTAGTTGTCCCAATTAATGACAATGCATCTAGTTTGGAACTTTATGTTGTAGACATTTCATACAGAATCGTGCCTTTCTGTTGCTGTGTTTTTTAAAGTCTCATTCTCCTCGCCAGGAAGCTAGTGCTGCAATTTCCGGACCTGGTGTTTATGGGAAGCTAAAATTTGAAAGTGGAATTCACAGAGTTCAGGTTTTCCTACCTCCTATTAAGCTCACAAAATGTGACTTCTAGCTGCAGTTACTAACAATTCTGCTTTGGTAGCGAGTACCTCTAACAGAGAAGTCTGGACGTATTCATACCAGTGCTGTATCTGTTGCCATACTCCCACAGGCTGATGAGGTAATTGGCTTAAAGTTGGATATTTTATGAATTTTTGTCTGAGCTACAGTGCAATTATCAGATATTTGCATTTAGTCATTAGAGGCTGGCAGCAGATGCTCATTTGTACATACAGGGACATTATTTCAATTTTAGGTCTATATTTTTGTTATTCCATCAGTTATGTTATAGTGGAGTACTGGAAGTAAGATAAACAAATCCTCTGTCACTTAGTCATTTTTGTGATTTCTATAGGTAGATATCCAGTTGAGGAACGAGGATTTGAGGATTGATACTTACAGATCTGGTGGTTCTGGTGGTCAGCATGCAAATACCACAAATAGTGCTGTTAGAATGACACATTTGCCCACTGGGATGACAGTATCCATACAAGATGAAAGATCACAACATATGGTAAAGATACTCCTAAAGCAGTTTAGAATTTCTTGAATCTACATGTTTTCAGGCATAAATTGCCTTTTGTTTCTGTTTACTGGAAGATAATTATTATGATAATTAACGGCTATGCTGCTGCTTTTGGATATTTTTTTCCCTTGGTTGCACTGAGAACTCCTTTGCATATTGAATGATCTAACACCAAAGGTTATTAATGGTCTGATAGTTTATTATTTATGGTATATGCTTATGGCCTGCTCTCTTGTTATTTTGTTATTTTATGTGCTAGTCTGTAAAAATATAAAAATGAAAAATCCTGTTCTCATATTACTTTTTCATGTACAATTGTGCCTATTCTTTTTTTTTTTTTTCTTTTGAAATAAAACTTCTTTGCCTGTTATGTGAATCATTCAGAGATATGAATTCTAGATTGTAAATGCTTTATGATAATGACCTGTTTGGTCAATTCCTGCAACAGTCTTTTACTTTACTAGAATATGCTTGATAAATAGAATTTTATAATAATCCTAATGTTTGAATCATTCAATTCTCCCACTGATTTCTTTTGGCTAAATTTATTAAAAACCCATCGATGAGGAATTCTGGTTAGGAATTCCTAATATTAATTGATTCAAATATGAAAAAGTATGACCTAATATTAAATGTCAAGAATATCGTAGTAATTAAGTAAAGGAAGTCAATATTCTATTAACGTAATTAAAGGAGTTCAGTAACAATTGAAACAAACAGGTATAAGTTGTTATTTTGTCTATTTAACTTGAGATTAGGTGCTGCTTTTGGCACTCTTTTCCATGTTGATACACAACAAGCCAAAAGCATATTGTCTGGTTCCTTTTAATTCACTGATAATATCTGCATTTCTGCTGGGTGTAATTATATGAGACAGTTCTATGTAGTTAAGGGGAATTAATCCTTGTAGTCATTTGTGTTGTCGTGATGTGCATTATTGTTGCATTAATATAAGTGGTGCCCGAGCATTCTATTGTAATATATATGCCTTATTGTCGCATTAATATGAAAGGTAAGCAAGCATTCTATTGCAATATTCATGCCTTATTGGACAGTATTTACCCTTTTGGCTTTTGACCCCTTGATTTTTGTTTCCTGTACGGTTTGGTTCTTCCACAGAACAAGGCCAAAGCTCTGAAAGTGCTGTGTGCAAAGCTATATGAAATGGAAAGGTCTAGAGTTCACATAACCCGATCGAAACTTCGATCAGAGCAGGTATGATGACTTCCATACAAAAATCAGTCTTTCCTTTTTCATTTCATCATTGATGGAGAGCTATTGTCGCCTTAACAGATTGGAAGTGGTGATCGATCTGAACGTATTAGAACATACAATTTTCCTCAAGGACGAGTCACAGACCATCGTATTGGCATCACTCATCACGCCATAGATGATGTTATGCAGGGCGAGGATCTAGATGTCTTTATTGATGCTCTTCTCTTGCAGCATGAAATGGATGCAATTGCATCATTCGCTTCCCAATAGAAAGTCATTTTACGTTTTTTTAAGAACAGGATGCTACTTTGATGTATCACAGGTTGTATGTTAATTATTTGTAATGTTCTATCCGATATATTCTGTCTCTTGGACTGTTTAAAAAAACGTGTCCAGCTTGAGCTGGTTGGAAACGCAGTATGGGGAAGTTACCAAACTGGGTAACTTGTAGACTTGCAGAAGGTAATGCGAGGGGGGTAACTTCTATAGTTGTGCATGTCATTTTTCATCTGCCTAGCAAGGATTTCAAAGCTGACAAGAGGCCGGTGTCAGTGTCAGTGTCAGTGTCAGCTTAGCAGTATTAGTTGCATAATCCAATGGGCCCAAACTCTGATATGGACGTAATATTGATTGTCAAGTGGAGTTAATTTTGAATTGTTATTATCGACAGCCTACCTAGAAGAAAATTATAGAGAATGAATTGACAAAATCATTGTAAGTTGATGCTGAAGTCATCAATTATGATTAGGTAGAGTGATTGGATGTAATTGTCATTTCCTAGCATTTTTGGTTGCTTCAAGTTTGGTTTGGTAGTTAGGGGAGATATTCTTTATTTCTTTTACATATGAAATATGTCCACATGGCTATGCCTATATAGTGGCGATATGTATATGTTATGCCCACAGTGGAAGCTAAAAGATACGATGCAAATCCCTCTGGGTCCATTAGTGTCCGGATTGAAGGAGACAGGTCAGTATATACAAATCTAAAAGCTATACCTTACTGCAGGAAAAATGGAAAAAGAGTGGGTTTGGATTAGTTTTTCAAATTTCACTACCAAGTGCTAAGGCATCCAGTTAGGATAACTATTTTTAATCTTTTTTTTTTTTTTTTTTTTTTCTGGGGGGAGGGGAAACATTTTGTTGCTTCTAAGCCTTTCTATTTCTTAGCCATTAAAAAAAAAAAAAAAAAAAAGGGGGTAATTGGAAATTTAGAAAAATCAAGTAATACTCAATCCTGCCCACAGAAGTCTCTTTCTTCACTTTCAAGGTAAAAAGTTTATAAAATTGATTGGATTAAGGTGAAATGTCTCTTTCTTTTTCTATTAGTGGTTTTATGATCTCTAAGTTTGACTTGAATTACATGTGATAAGGTATTTCCTCTTTGAACCCAACACTATAATTGGGAAGGAAATAGATTCTAGGTCTTGCAAGAAAGGGATTGGTGAAGTATTTGGGTTTTGTCTATTTTTTATGATTGATTTCCTGTTCAGGAGTCTTTTTATAAAAAAAAAAAAAAATGAAGAAACAGAATTTTTTGTTAGACTCGGATCTGGTCTGTCACCCAAACATCCCTTTATAAAAAAAGAAAACGCAGATTGAACTAGAAAGAGAAGATTTCCTGCTCATTAACTGGGATATCATACGTTTTAAATGATGTATATCTGACATCTCCTAAACAAGAAGTGTGCTAGACTCTGGTAGAGAGAATCCGGCTAGGAATCTGAAAAGATTCTCCTCTCTCTCCTTCCAAGCAAATGTAAATTCAAATTTTTTTACAATTTCTCCAAAGAATCAAACCTCTGGTTTAGCGACATGGATAGCTTTCCGAACATATTCTGCGGTTGGAGTTGGGAAGAGAACAAGCTATTTGAACTGGCTTTAACAATGGTGGACGAACAAGTACCAGATCGATGGGAGCTGGTGGCTGCCATGGTTGGTGGAGAGAAGAGTGCGGAGGATGTGCAGAAACATTATGTGATTCTTTTGGAAGATTTGCAGTTCATAGAATCTGGTAAACTCGACCATAAACTTGGTGGAGAAGCTTTTCAAGTTGAACTAGACTGTAATCAATCTCTATGCTGGACTGATGAAGATAACAGGTATATTAATTTCATTTCTCTTCTGTCTCTTCTTTAATCTTTCGTCGGACCTCCTTGTTTGTTTATGATTAGGTCAATTCTGTTCCGTATTATTTTCAGTTTACACCATCTATGCAATGCAAAACAAAAAAGATCAACAGAGAATTTATTTTCTCATCTGGGTTCCTATTCTTGGACATCTTTGATCCTACATAGATTATAGTATCTTTCTTGATAAATTATCATCCATTCCGTCCCTATTCTTTTTTTAATTTAATTGCTGAACTAATTTCCAATTCCTACTTGGTAGAAATAATTCAAACTTAAAATCAGTAATTCAATTCTATATATCAAAATCATAATTTAAGCAAAGAAATAAAATAAAAATTGAGTAGTAATTGAACTAAACGAACCAATACTGGTATTCAAACATCATTCGGTATTATGACATGGGTACATCTTCCTCTCTCACATTCTTCCATTTTTTTTTCATAAAACTATTTGATTGATCTCCAACAGTGAATCAGACGTCTTGAATTTCTACAGTAATTTCTTGTGATAAAACTGGGAAATCCCTCCTTTCACATGTATTCTTGTGATTACAAAAGAAAAGTTACGGTATGATTGGAACAAATCTTGAAATTTATGCAATTTATTTGCAAATCACGTTTAGTTTAACTAGTAGAGGATGCAAATTCTACTAGGAAATGATAAACATAGACCATCAAATCAATTGTTATCAATTTATTAAATATTTCCACCTAAACATAGCCTTTGAATGTCAATTTCTCGTTCTTTCTCTTCTGCGACAAGTATTAGACATGGTAGTTCTGTTCTCAAAAAGTAATGAAAGAGAAGATATGTTGGAAGTACTAGTGTCATTCTTTTGGGTATTATGACTAAGTTGATGCATTTCACATTGACGCTTATCAATTCATATTTCGCATTGATGTTGATCAATCCATATTTTGCATCATTAGCTGCAGCCAAGATAGAACAAGAGCTCTCTGCCTAGCACTTGATAGCCCCTTCAGTTTCAAATAACATTTTTTATTATTATTATTAGAAACTGAATATATGATCTTGAATTTGACTGTGATTACAGCTTGCTGCTCCAATTGAACATAAATTGATTGATTTCAAGAGATGGTGGATTCATTGCTGTTCATGAGATGGAGGATTCATTGCTGCTCAAATTCATGAACATAGCTTATGATTTAGGTAATTTTATCATTAGATCTCTGTGGTAAATTTAGTTTGCAGACTTAATCAATCCATAGTTTGTAGTAGATAAAATTTTCTAGAAAAATGCCAGCCAGGGAACTGGAACTTATACTCCAACTCCAAGAAAATTAGGTTTCAACTTTCTGTTTTATACACGTTTTACTCTCTCCTCTTACATATGGCAATGGTGGCTAGCTACCAAGACCACTGCTCTTTTTAAACAATTTTTTTTTTTTTTTAAAGTGCTATAGCTAAGGAGCTTCAGTTCTCTCTTAACTTTTTACTTCAATTGACTTTCTGATAATAATTTGAAAAAATTCGAAAAAGAAAAATAGTAGTGAAAATGTTTTTTTTTTCTCCTCATTGGATATCTAATGCTTATAGAGAAAGGCAAAAATGAAGTAAAAAAGGGTAATTAGATCAAAGCAAAAAGCTTCAAGAGCTTTTGAAATGTTTCTGCTTCATTGGTAAATAGTAGATGGCATGTGAACTTTAAGTGGTTGAGATCTGCAACATTTTCACCTTGATCCACATGGTAATTAAACCACACTCCAACAAGAAGTTTGGTGGGTGAGTTCTGCTTCCTTGTAAAAAAATTGACATCATAGATAGCCTTTTTTTAAAAAAAAAAAAAGAAGAAGATCATATTCAAATCCAATTTATTTTATAATCAAATAAAGACAAAATTTAATAATAGATTTAGAAAAAACTTTTAAGTTTTATTTGCTTTCGGATAAAAAGAAATTAAAATATACTTAACTAAAAAAGAAATAAATATTTATTTTCAAAAAACTGTTAATCTTTCTAGTTTATAATACGTGGAGAATACTAAAATTTTAAAGATAAGATTGTCTTGCTAAAATTGACTACTTTAGCATGAAACAAAAAGTGAAATAAAAATAAAAATAAATAGAAAAGGTGGGATGGGGAGATTATGTGAGAATAACATCAAAGTTTTATAGTGTTCACTTTGCAACTTCCTCTTGATCACTCACAAAAATTACAATACCCAAATTAATGAATGCCCAGATTCTTCTAGCAGGAGGCTTACTTAGATCCTGAAATAATACGAAAGTAATAAAAAGTCAACATTTAGATTTAGTTTTATAACTAAAAAAGAGTAAAATATTCGAACTTGATCAAAGTGAAGTTTGCTTGCCTAACCACCAATATGAAGCTCCCAAGTCCTTAGAACACCAACCCAAACCATCCCTTTTTTGGTTGGGTAACCATATTCAGCCGATATTGGGTTAGGCAACAACTGAACTATCTCTAATCCCTGAGTATTGCCGTAAGGATCACAAATGCTTACAGGTTGCTCAAAATATTTTACATTTCTAGGAGCATAGTAGTAATGATAAGTTTCATGAGGAAAGTTTTTTGTATCATTCATGTGAATCTTTCTATTGTTTGAAATTGTCATGGACCATATCTCGTCTTACAAAGCAATGATCGGAGCATATTTAAATTACATAAACTCGAATTAAGTAAAGTAATTTAACTTTATTAATCATAACAGAGTCGTATAAGTGTTACATTCATTAAATGTAAACATAAACATAAACATATGCTTACATTACAAACTAAATGCATAAAGTAGTAACCTTAATCTCAAGGTATAGTTTTATAATTTTTTTTTCATCAGCACTATCTTCCATATCTAAATGGTGAAAAAAAATAAAATAAAATATCCCAATAAATAATATTATGAAATCAGAACATATTACATACAGTATATAGTTTTATTTATATAACAAAACATATATTGTATACACTTACCAAAAATAGATACACGAATCAGAAGATAAATACACAAATAAGAAAATGAACTCATAAATATTTCGTTGTATACTCCATCATTATTATGGAGGATCAATCGGTTACCACACATCATGCATAAACATACATATTTATCATTAGTTCCTCATGTATCTGAACACGGAACGGTAAATATGGTACCTCGAAACACTGCCACCCCCCGAACACGAAATGGTTAAAGCACGCAGATCACATGATTTATCATACAACCGAACACGAAACGATATGTATAGGCAATTAAAACATTGAGATCCCCCGAACACGAAACGATGAGGCACTCAAATCACATTGATTTCTAGCATGATTGAGGTGGAACAGAATGATTCGTCTCCTTAATTAATGATGTACACAAAACAAAAATATTTTTTAGGTCACATAGCACTTACATCAGAATTGAATAAACACATAACACTTAAATCAGATTAATAAAATAAAAAAAAAACGAATTCATATTACTTCATTGTATACGTCATCACTATTATGGAGTATCAATCAGTTACCATAGATTATGTATAACACACATACTTATCATTAATTTCTCATGCACCCGAACACAGAACGACATACATGAGTACCTTGAAACACTGATACTCTCCGAACACGGAACAATTAAGACATGCATATTACACTATTTTTCCATACATCCGAATGCAGAACAACTATATATGGGTACACGTTTATTATTTTGCTAATAGACCCGAATATGGAACGACATATGTAGTCACATTGAAGCCTAGCATAATATAAATGTTTCGAAACAACTCTTTTCTATAATGATTGATGCACACATGTCAAAATAAAATTCGAAAACAAAAAGTGAAGTGCACTTAAATCGAAGTAAACTTTAACAAATATTTGCTTAGCATATACGAAAATACAAATAAAATATTTTCAAAAAATACGTAAGTCATAATATCACAACATCCATTTGCATATTCTTTTATATTAAAAGTACGTAAAATATTTTAAATTTACATAAGCTAATGAATCCATAATATCCACTTACCTTAAGTTCTAAGTAGTCGTATTTCAAACCTTTTCATTTATCTATGTTTTACGTATCTACTTGGATAGAGTCTCCCATTATATTGCTTCAATTTTCTTGTTTCATTTATAACATTTTCTTCTCAAAAATCCAGCAGAGTTCCATGATGATTTTAGTCACTTTCTTTACTCAAAAATTTTTAATGCAAAAGTTAATCCCAAAAATCGAAAAGATATCGAATTTAAAACTTAAAAAAAAGACTTACCTTTCTCACAATTCATGTCCTTCTTTATCATGAGCCTTCATCTTTCGTTCATTTTTCTTTTGTTTTTCGTTCCCTTTTCTCTCTTTTTCTTTTGTCTCACAAATTTAAGCAAAAATTTTCCAAGATTTGTATCTAAAAATCTCATAATAGTCTCACAAAATCACACACTTCGTATTCTTTCTTTTTTCTTCACCTCTCTATTTCTCACTATTTATCTTCCATCCACCATGTTCTCTCTTCATTCCTACATCCCTTATTTATAAAAGTGGAGAGCCACAAGAGAAAGATTGTCACCCTTCCGTCATACCACTAAATTTAAAGATTGTCATATTTCATCATACAACTTTATTTAAGAGGTTTTCAACTTTCATTATGTCACTTCATCAAAAAGGGTCTCAAGATTTATTCATGCCTCTTCATGTTTATTCTAGATTTTTTCGCACTTTTCCACTTGCTTCTTTATCATTTTCTATCCTTTAGCTACTTACTAACTAAATTTGAGTTGAAATAGAGTCCATTACACTTCCTAGCTACCTATGCACACATATTTGACTATATTAAACACTAGAAATCATAATGGGAAACATACGGGTTATTACATCCTTCTCCCCTTAAAAAAGAATTTGGTCCTCCAAATTGAACTTACTTATGACAAACAAATGATGATACTTGGGTTTCATTTCCACACATACTTAAAGATACTAATTATATTTATATGTACACATATAAATATATATATATATATATATATTACATTACATATACATTTAAACATTCACACATATTGCACTATATATATACATATTTACATAAACATATAATTTATATCTCAATACTGAATATACATAATTTTTACCTACGATGTAATTGGAAAAGCTTTGGTAATCCTTTCTAGCTTTGTCCTCTCAAAAAATTGTATACTGTTTAGATAATTTTTTTTGTTTACAATGAAAAATAAACATATTAAATTATGAATAATTTTGAAAACAATATAATGCGAAATGAAGAACAGATTTTATCTTGGGACACACGATCCTAGTCGCCAGTGTCACCACGCGCTACCACACACATGTCACCGAAAATGCCAGGCATCAATGTCGAGAGCAATGCGCGTCGCCACATGCGATGTACCAGCAGCAGATCTGGTCACTACGCTTCTTTTTTCTTCTCTCTTTTTTTTTTCTTTTTTTTCTTTTCTTTTCTTTCTCTTATTTTTTTCTTTTCTTTCTCTTTTTTCTATTTTCTTTTCTTTCTTCTTTTTTTTCTTTCTTTATAACAGTCAGTTATGTGCTTCCATATACTGGGTTTAGGAAGTTTTTATGAATTTTATTTACAAATGTAAACTAAATAATATATAAATATAAATTCTCTAATAAAAATATAATAGAATGGAATAACATGTGAAATATAATTATTCTAAAATAGGAGAGTTAAACTTATAAATCTCAAAGAAATGGTGTATTTTTAATTAAATTCTTAAAATTCATAAGAATTAAAAGCTCCTAAAAATTCTATTACCTTAAGTGAATAGTAAGAACTAAAATTCCTATTACTTTAAATAAATTAAAATTCCTCACTTCCTTAGATGTTTATGATCACTTATATACGCTACTAAATCACCAAATTTTCTGCAGCAAGCTTTGGAAGTTCAAGTTGTGCTGCTGCATCGGAATAACACCCATGTTTAGGTAGGTGTTCGTTCTTCGTTTAAATTCCTTCCTAATTTGTGTTTTCCTTTAAAAAATCTTGTAGTTAGTTGTTAGAATAACATGTTAGGAGTGTTAGGAAATTATTTCTCAAAGTTAAATGAATTATGAACTTGAAAATTAATCAAAACTCTTACCATACTCTATTTTAACTATCGTAAGTTGCAAAGGAGAGTTTTTTGAAATTTCTAGCATTCCTTCGTATAAAATTTGTTTCTGTTTCACATATTTATAGGTAAGATAGGCTGAAATCTTGTTGATGCATGATATGTAATTTTTAGATGCTTTAAATAACATGTTTTGGTGAATTAATCCTGTTGCGTGCATGTGTGAAAGGAAAACATAGTGTGTGCGTGTGTGAGTGTTAAAATCTAGTT